GCACGCCTTCGTGGCTTTCACTGAGGGGGTCACAGATATCCATCCGGCTTTGGTTGATTTGCCCGTAGTAAATATCTACGAGGATAAGCACGTATACGCCGTGTTGGATGAGGGCTGTAACTCGACTGTTCATGGTAGCGATTGGATAGCAAACGCGGCGGGGAAACTTGCGAACTTCGGTTACAGCACGAGGTTTAAACCTGAGGGCAATCGGACCTTCAAGGGTCTTAGCGGTGCTACCGAAACCCTGGGTAGCAGGACCATACCTTTCTCTATAATGGGATTGGAGCAGGACTTGAGAGTTCCGGGCGTCCTTGATTCTCACGAGATTAAGGGTACAGCCCCTCTCCTTTTGTCCCTTTACGCCCAGGCCCAACTTGGTATAACCAAGGATCTTCGGTTTGGCGAGTGTGGTGTTCGACTTCCTTCTGAGGATAGCATCATTAGGATCAAGCTGTGTCGGACACATGACTCAGGGCTGTTATGCATAAACATAACAGAAGGTTTGATTCAGGTGAAACAACCCCGTCTCATAAGGAGCTTCCAAATCCCCTCACCGCCAGTTCCTATATTTAGGTCTGCCGCCGCCGCCGCCTTAGCTCACTCAGAGTCTGTGAGCACCCCTCGAGATGCAACAGCGGCAGATGACGCAGTGGCAACAAGTCGCAGTCACAGTACTGTAGATGCAGGCCATGGTCATAGCACTGTAGGCGTAGGCCACGGTCACAGCTTCACAACGACAGCTGAGAATCGCAACAACACTAAGCGACGTATAAGCGTAGCGTTCCCGAATCATTGCATGGTAGGCACGTCCGTAGGAGACACGGAGCCCGCCGCGATGGCCGCAGAGGAGGGGCAGCTGCCTAAGAAGGCGCCCCCGACGGCAAAGGCTGCACCGAAGATTTCAGCAGCGCCGGAGCCTGGCCACAGTGCCATGGCGACCTCGCCTGCGGTCGGCCACAGTGCCGTACCGGTGATCACACCTGCCTTCCCCGCGCATGCGCCCAAGGCACCGCCTGGAGGAAGCGGCTTGCCAAAGAAGGCGCCTCCCACAGAGAAGGCAAGGCCTGGGGATAGCCCAGGGATACCGCCAGCAGCCCGTGCCACAGTGCATCCGAAGGAGATCGCACGAGGGCACCGTGAGCTGGCCGAGTTCGATGCGGTTGTGAAGAAGGACCCGCACAATAGGCCCCTGGTTATAATGGCAGGTGGTGGACCCCATGGTCCGGAGCTCGACACTCCTCTTCCAGCATCCGTGTATAATCCGGATTTGGCCTTGCTGCCGTACTATGCGGGGGACACAGCGAACCCGGACATCATCATTGATGTTTTTACCTGGGGCTATGAGCACCATGCCTGGCTGCAACGCGTCAGAGGGAAGTGGACGGCGGCCGAGCTCTTCGCACAGCACGAAGAGATGGAAACGCATGCGATCACGACGTATGCGAGTGCCACTCGCTATATGCTAGTGATGTTGGACATGGTGTGGCTTAAGGACGATCGGAAAGACGATCTGACGCCAGCAGAAGCCCAACAGCGCAACGACGAACAGCGCGACCGCACAAAGCATGTTGGGTCGAACCCCGATATAATTCGGGAGCACGCGGATCATCCCAACCTGATCGCCCACGTCAGGCACATCGTGGCGAACGTCCTTGACGCTAAGGACGCTGGGATTCGGTCCATTGCCGTGCATGTGGTTTGCAAAGCCAACAGACATAGATCTGTTGCGGCGGGCATCCTTGCCCATGCAACGCTTTTGGAGCTCGTGCCAGACTGCTCCGTCAGCCTCACTCACATGAGTGCAGCGAATAGTTGGCCCTTCATGGGCAGCAAGGCGTGCAAAGGACAGTGCCCCAAGTGTTTGCACCGCGCCCCTGGCATAGCCCAGGAGGTCGAGGAGCTTACGAGGTGCTTCGTCGAGGCTGTCCGCACAGACGGACCAGAGGATAATGAGTGCATCCTTGTCGTGGAGCCGCAGTGTGCACGCCCCGATGATCAGCCTACATATGCTGAGCGGTTTCATGCGCAGATGCTTGCAGAGGGCCGCATACCGGCACCGGTGACAGGGGTAGGCCCCCTTGATAGGCCTCCCATGGCAGGCGAAACCGCGTATCAGGCTGCAACCCGCATGGGGCTGGTCGGCAAGACACATACATCGTATGTGGCAAAGTACGACCCGAACTCGCTCACTGCGGCGATGAACCGTGCACAGGGCACAGCCCCTGGAGGACGTCTGCCTTCGGTTACTTTTAGCTCGGGTCCTAACCCTGCTAGTTCTAGCGTAGGTGCGTCAGCCAAGGGCGGAGCGGCCCCCATAGAGAGGCCGAAGGCTACACCAGCACCGCCGCCGGCAAAGTCCGGTGGAGCACAGGACCGCGCAGCGACGCCGACAGGGTCGTCGGCTCGGATTCGCAAGCTCGAGGCTGAGGTCCACGACCTCACTGATGCGAATCGCTGCCAGGAAAGCACTATAAGTGACTTGAGAGAAGCCCTCAGCAACGTGAAGCGGCAGCGCGATAATGCGTATGATCGGCTGCAGGACATGCGTGAGAGGGCAGAAGACGCGGAGACTCGAGCCGATAGGGCCGAGGCGGAGCTCAAGAGGCTTACTCGCCGCTCCCGATCGCGTCGCAGGCGGAGGGATAGTTCCTCCTCGAGCAGGGGTCATCGCCGTGACCGTACCCGTGAGAGACGGCGGATGGACTCCAGACCTCGGGATAGGTCCGAGGCTCCGACGCGCCAGCGCACCTCCCGTTGGGGTCGCGTCCGCGACCCAGGTGACCGTGCGGATCGGGACACAGTTCCCGAGCCAGAACGCATTCGTGCTGCAGGCCGGGACACAGCTCCCGAGCGTGATCGCACGAATCCTCGCCCCTCTGCACGGCCGGAGGTGGATGTCGAGCCCGACAAAGGCAAGGGCAAAGGCAAGGCGGCCCCGCACAGCGTGTATGATGAGGTCGAGTATGACGACGGCACAGGTGCGGGAGACTGGGATCCACCGGGACCCAGGAGCAACCTCGGCAGCAGGCGCCCGCCTGAGCCGCCGGAGCCACCGCGCTTCCGAGGCAGTGCTGGTTACAATAGGTTTCCAGAGCGTGAGAATCCTCACCGCCCCATGACGGCCAGAGAGTCATGGTGGTATTTCCACGGCGATAGGCCGTCGGACGAGTGGAACGACGCGGAATGGGCAGAATTCCGTCGTCAGTTTCCGAAGCCCCCAGGGCAAGGCAAGCTCGTCGAAATCGACGAGAAGATCCTGGCCATCGACGTTGGTGCCATTGCACTTAGCCCCGACACAGGTTTCGGGTGGAACAGGCGCATCGTGTTTCAGGACTTCCCTGATGGTGTGCTGACTGACCTATATGAGGTCATGCGCGAGAAGCAGGCGCCAGCGTGCTGGATCGGTCCATATGCACCGAGACGTTTCTGGGCTGGTGATAAAAATCACCACGAACTCAGCGAGCGGCACAACATAAAGTGCACAGTGGTCACCCGCCACACAGGCCGTTCGTATAAACCGACGGGCAAGCTACGGGACATAGATCCCATAGGATACTTGTTTTCCCATCTGGATCCCGCCGACGGCTCCAGCTGGACGTATGAAGGCGCATGCTTTCCGCCGGGGTCAGACTCCGAGAAGCTGCCCACCGAAACCGGTGGAGCCGAGCAAGCATGCCCGACGCAAGAACCGTCGGAGGATGGGGCGTACGTCGCGCTTTGGGTGTTTCCCTTGGCGTTCGACGCGGCCACAGTGCCCCACCAGATCGAGGACACAGATGCCTTGAGTGCAGTGTATGAAAAACCGCAAACGACACTTTGGAAAGATTTCAATGGGCTTGAGGGTTGAAACCAGCCAACCTGGCCTGCCCCAGGCCAGTGTGGTAGTAGTTGTTTGAAACACTAGACAGTCTGGGCGTAGGCTGAGAAAGCACGTGCCAGTTGTCGCTTGCTAAGCTATAATGTGAGCACTTCGTCCTTGCGATTCTTATGCAGGGGCTAGAAAATCAAGTAGTTCAGAGTTGTGCTTCGGATATTGCCATGGAACATACCAGCTAGTTGTAAGACCAACTCCAAGTTTGTTCCAAGAGGTAGATTTGGGTCGCCGCCGGACAAAGGAAGTCCGGACATGTTTGTCCGGATAGTTGCACGTGCTTTTGGCTGCTTGCTTTGCCGAAAACTAGCAGCAGGGGGGGTGTAGCCATAACTGGTCGCTAAAGTTCAGATTATCGGCGGTAGGTGCTAGGAGCGCCACGACCGACGACGACACTGCGACTGCGACCAGAACGACCAGACCAGACCACCATGACACTGCCAGCTGATCTGAGGTCCATCGGTTTTGATTTGTTGTTGGCCTTTTGAGTTTGGCGAAAATGATGATGATGCTTTCCGCTTGTTTGTGGCAGACTGTCGTCAATTGTCAACTTTTCGGTGTATGCAAGTTCTTGTTGTCCTGCACTTGGAACTGAACAACTTAGCCGAATCAGTCCTCGAGTCTTTGTATGTAAACGGGTAGCCTTTCTGCTCCGTGCTCAGCTTACCGGGTCTAGCTGAGAGTGCCAGTGCCTAGGCTTAGGCCCTGAACGAAGACGCATTTTCGTTTATATTTGACATGTGATCCACACATCCCAAACCTCGGCCAAGGCAGCCAGCCCAAGATTGTCGAAAGACTTGCATGTATGGGGCTACTGTAGTGTTATGATAGTGTTATGGAGATCAGCTGGCCATGGCAGATGATGGCACGAGCTGGGCTTACCTTAGCTGCTTCGAAGACTGGCAAAGCCACCGCAGCAAGAGAAAGCCTGCTTTGGAAGCCGAGAGCTGTCCACCACACGTAAAGCGTTTGTGTGATGCTGCTTGTCAGCAGCACCCGGAGCTTGCCCAGGCTTTCAAAATAGGTAGGCCAGTGAACGAAGGTGCGAGTCCGAGTGAACCGTTCCCAGTGCGTGGAATTGTCCAGATAAAAGTAGGCAGCAAGTATGCAGGTCATTTCTCTCCAGGTTGGTCGGAAAAAGCTTTCTTCATGCATGAAATTTGCCATGATGCTGCGCTAGATGCATACACGCTGGAAGTACAGAAGCGGCTTTGCTTTGCTCTGTGGGAAGACCCCGTGCATGCCAACTGCGTGACTCTCCCCAACATTCGAAAAGTGAACAAATCGGCATCGGCAGATTACTCGTGGATCGAGGATGTTCCTGTGTGTAGCGAAAACAAATCACACAAGAAGTCCTTGATATGCCTGATGACAGCCGCGAGCATAGGTTCCAGTGCTCCTGTGCAAAGCAGATCTGGTGCTGATCTGAAACAGAAATTATTGCAGCTTCATCTGTTTGAGCCTTCCAGCAATGACATACAGTTTCGCTGCCTCCGTGAGGTTCTAGGCGATGCAGTCTCTGAGAAATGCTTAGATTTTCCCGTGCTTCGTTTGCCTCGCATGATTGCCTTTTTGGTTGTCGTGGGTTTGTGGCACGAGGTTGTTATGCTGTCGCGTTGGACGCACCCGCATTTTCCATCCCTTACTGCCTCCTTGCCCCAAGAATGGCTCACAACAGTGGCACACTCGCCTGAAGATGGATTGTCTACCCAGCTACTCACACTGGATCACGTTGAGAACACGATGGGGTTGATGAGGCGTTTGGGCGCTCAGGTGTTGCCATCCTTGCTGGACGACGATGCAAGGGTCGGGTTGGAGATGGATTTGGAGAGCTGTCTGAGGGCGTTGCGTGCTCACGGGCGTACCCTAGATGTTTCACATGCAGTGTATCACACAAAGCATTTCCGCGGTGGGATCCCGTCAGATGTTTTCGTGCAACAGCTTGTGGCAAGCTTGGACTTGAAAGACAAGAGTATGCTGAAGCGTCATGCAGAACGTTTTTGCGCTTGTTTGCCAAAAGTATTCCGCCCCTTGCTCGATGCCTGGATGTCGGGACAAGTTGTTAGTGCCACATCGCTTGTGCGAGGTAGGCTGTTCCTGGACGTGGCCATGCAGCTTGTGCATCGTCAAAATCTGTCAGATAGTGGCGGTGTATTGAAATACGCCTGGGGGGATGCATCATCTAAGTATGGGTTGGAGGTGTACAATTCTCGATACCGATGGTTCAAGAAGTCGCAGTGTGTGGAGCTTGCCCGTGCCTGGCGGTATTTGTGCAACAATCCATGGGGTCCAGAGGTAGATGATGAGATCTTACGGAAGAGAGCTGAGTGTTCCCAACTCCTCCATGACAGCATCCATCTCCACACCATGATGCCGCAACTCTTGGGCAGCAAGCGCACGACCTTGCCGGACAAAGTATCGGCGCATGTCCACGCCAGCCTCCTAGAGTGCTCCAGCCTGCAAGATCTTGACACCAGCTTTGATAATCATATCTCTTGGACATCAGATATGGGAGTAGAGGCAGGTCTGCCATCATTTGGCATACAAGGGGCTGAGAAAACCTTGCCCCCTTGGCTGCAGCCTGCAAGAGCCAATGTTGTAGAAGGAGAGGAATTTGTTGAAGACGGTCCTGTGGTGAATGAAGATGCAGCTGTGACGAAGCCTTTGATGCAACATGCTCTCCAGATGCCCGGGATTTGTCATTGCATCCACAATGCCACAGAGACTTTGGAGACAGCGTTCCATTGGTTTGAGACGTTCGTTGATCATTATAAGGTTTTAGACAAGTTCCTAAGCAGCAAGCAGCGGCGAGAGCGATTTGTGGAAGTGGTGATGTATGGTTCTCCTGCATATGAAACAGCCAAACAAGTCTTCTCAAAACAGGTGCCGGCGTTCTACACGAAGCGCTGGAATGCCTTCACAGACTGTTTGCGTGAAACGCTTCCCATGGCTTTGTTCCTGCGTTCACATTGGGATCATGTGCGGTACCTGGAGGGTTTGGAAAATGCGGCTTCAGTAGATGATGGCTGGGCTCCAACGGACCTGAACAGCATATTGAGCAACAACTACTTTTTCGCATACTGGCGGATGCAGCTGAAGCTCCGGGGTCAGTTGAGCACATTCATGTCATGGGCAGAAGGGTGCAGCTGTCACAAAGTCCCTCGTCGACGTGCAAGTGACCATGAAGACGACTCGGAGGACCCGAAGTCAAGCATATCCTTGCAAAGCCTTCTGAATATGGAGATTACTTCTGCACGGCAGTTGCCCCGTAGGTGTCCCATGATGGGTTGTCAAGCTCCCTTTTTGGCCAGTGATCACCTCGAAACATTATCGAAGCGTTTGGCAGAGTCTTCGCACCATCTTGTTGCAGACTGCCATGAGCGGCTCAGTCAAGAAGAGTGGGGCACCTTGCTGTCTGAGTGGAAGCATGGGACTTCTGTGATTATTGAGAACCTCAAACTTCGGTTGGAGTTTTACACTTGTCTTCCTTGGGTGCTTCTCTCCGGGGCACATCCTGTGGCAAACGTAGCACGTCAGGGTCTCCAAAAAGCTTTGCGGTTGTGGGAGCAATTGCCAGATGATGCCAAAGCATCTCAGCACTTGCTTGTCCGAGGCTTGTTTCAGGATGCCGGTTTGAGTGAGCAGCTGGTGGCTTTTTTGGCATCAGACGACGACATAGAAAGTTTTCCCCAACTGGAGCAGTTTTTTGCCCCCTTGTCCTTTGTGCAAGTAGCTGAGCGGTTGATCGAGGCAGCTCACAAAGACTTAGGCCAATCTCGGCCCAAGAACTTCAGTATGAATCTACTCTCGATCAATATGCGTTTGCCTGAGCTTGACCGTTATCTGTGGCAGGACCCAGGCAACTTTGCAAAACTCGTAGATGCTTTCGAACAGTCCCGGCACTTGCGTTCATTCACTAGCAATTTTCCTTGCTACCGAAACCACCCCAAAATGCTGTCAGTGGCTGGCAAAAGAAAATCTGCAAAGTTTGAAAGTTTTGTCAGGGAAGCTTTGTACCGTGATGCGAGGCTGCAGTTTGCAGATGTCAAGGAGGCTGCAGAGACCCATAAGGCCGAAGTGAAAAAGAGAGAGGCTGCCCATAAACCCCACAAGAACAAAGTGAGACTTTCCGAAGCTGTGGTCGTAGGACGTGCCATCACAGACAGAATCCGCGAAGTAGCGCACGAGCAGCCCGGCACCATGTTTTCGATTCACGCTGGACCAGACCAAGGCACAAGGTTTTTCACGCCAGTCCTGTTGAATCCATCTGGTCTGCGTCGCCCTGTGCATGCCCCATGTACTCTGCACGAGTATGCTCCTACTGACATGCTTGTCACTGTTTGTGAGAATCGTGGATCTGTTGAAAGACCGCTTGTGAATGCCATGTCTGCAGGAAGCACAGAGACACTATCCATGCAGCAATTGCTCGCAGCTTGCGATGACATGCATTCTTTCGTGAAAGAACTCCGTGTCTGGTCTCGGGGTGGTGGCTTGAAGTATTGCTTGCCGCTGTTGGGTGGAGGAGTTTCCACTTTGCTGCAAACATTGCTGGATCATGGTGCTGTGCCGGGCAAGGGGCGTGCTTTGGCAGTGCAGGATGGTGCTAGGGAAGGGTCTTTGCAGATGCTTCAAGGATCAGGGTATGTAGATCATTCCGCAGCAGGGTGGCAATTAACTCAGAAAGCTTTGCAGAGCATGGAGTTTTTTCGTGAGCTGAGCCACCCGACATGTTTTGCAGATCCTGGAGAGAAGCCTCTGAGTGACATGTCAACACTCGAGCTTGTGTTCGTTCTGCAAAGCAAGTCATGGACTTGGTCAAAATTGCCTGCCAAAAAGGTAGATCGGGATCAACTTGAGTTCGTTCCAGGAAAGGCCCTTGTCTGGCGCACGGTCGGAGTTACAGTGCCTGCTTCCTATATGCGTTGTTTGCTGGATGCAGACCGACTGCAGACTCAACACGGCATCAGTGCGATCCCTCATGGTTTGTCAACTGATGTGTATGAACAGATCTTCCTTGGGGTGCAGCCTGCTGAAGCTATTCGTGCCATTCAGGATCAACGTAGGAAGCGTAAGCGGGAAATCCAGGATCCGGGTCGTTTGCAGATCGATGTTGAAATAGGTGAGGTTGGTGGTGCTTTGGGCGAGATTGGGGAGCAATCCGCTTTGGCAGCGCTTGCACCGGTGCCTAATCAGCAAAGTGCAGCCGAGCAGGGGGAGGGTGAGGGAGGCTTGTCAGACTTAGATTTCGCAGGTGGCATTGGTTCCCCTCCTGATTTCTCAAAGGCTGACTCAGAGGCCTCAGAGGTTGATTCGCAGGAGCTGATTGCAGAATTAGAAAATGCCATTAATGCCGTGGATGCCAAAGATGCCAATGACGGCCATGATGCCAATGATGCAAGCGTAGCGGAACCACCGCCCCGTCTCCCAGAAGGTGGTGCAGATGCTATGGCTGTAGACCCAGCAAACATGCCTCAGGGGGAACCGTTGCCGTTGCCCCGTCCCGCAGAAGGTGGTGCAGATGCTGTCGTTGACCCAGCAAATTTGCATCAGATCTTGGAAGTCAAGGCAGCAGCTAAGTACGGGTTTTTCTCTTTCTCCAGAAAGCAGGCCCGCAGTGCACCGCCTTTTGGCGGGTATGAGGCGATCTGCAGATACCACAAAAGAAGCAACGTGACAGGATGCAAGCGCTTCGTGCGCTTGCCCAATGATACTGAGGAGGGCCGTGCAGCTGTCATCACAACGCTGCAACACTGGTGCAATTCAGCTTTGAAATTCTCACGGCAAAGAGACCATGTTCGCATGCCGTTGGCCCCCGAAGATGTCCCCTCTCCTGAAGTAGTCCAGGCCCAACAGATTGCTCAAAACCCTCCTGTTCCAGTAAGAACAGACGAAGAGTTGGACCGAGAAGAGGCAGCAGCAAGATCGGCTCCTGTTGCGAAGACGAAAGCAAAGGCGGCCGCGAAATTGACAGCAAAGGCGAAGGCGAAGGCCAAGGCGAAAAGTACACCAGCTGGCAAGGCCGAGGCTAAAGCTAAAGGGAAGGCAGCGGCAGCACCAAAGGCGAAGGCGAAGGCAGCTCGTAGCCCCAGCACAGCAGCCAGAGGGTCAGCCGATGTACCCGATGCTCCGCATGCCCCAGCTGCTGCAGATTCAAGTTCCAGGCAGGGGCGGGTGCGTGACGGTGCGTGTGCAGCCAGGGCTCTTTACTTGCGGTCTTCACGGTGCAGTTGCTGTTGCTGTCGATTCTTTAGCACCGTCTCGGTTTGTAGGTCCCGAATGTCAATCCCCAAACCTTCTAGACCTTCGTAACGACTCCTACCTAACCCCCTCCCGTGCCCCATGCCAGGTCCAGTTCGCGATCTTCGAGCTCATCGTCTTCCAGTTCGAGTTCGAGCAGCTCTTCGTGATGGAGGCCATGTGCCAGTGCTGGAAGGTTTCAGTTGTCGTATTCACCATTGATGCCGTAGTGTGGCTAGAGTTAAAAGGAGTTCCCGAGCCGACGTTCGGATCACATGCTTCGCAGTCAGTGCTCTGAGTCGTGGCATAATGGTGCAGACACGGTTGCCTTAAGTTGTCGCTACGTAGCCGACCTAGGCCCCAACATTTTGCGAAAATTCAGGGTCCCGGGTCGCCGGCCCAGGCCCCTAAATTTTCGGAAAATTTTGGGGGCTGGGTCACGACAGAAATCCCCTCACACGGGTGCCGGTGCCAGGTGGCGTGTGTCCTTCAGCTCGATTGGAGGCGGGAGCGGGAACAGCTTCGAGCCTGAATCGTTGCAGTGCATCGCTTTGAGAAGCTTTCCCGGGGATATCGTGGTTTAATTCGCACTTTAAGCTGCTGCGCAAGGCGTCTTCATGGAAGGTGCCGGGACTTCTTTTCGTGCAGGCTCGGTCCGGGCTCGAGGAGTCGGTGGGCTTTGCGGGGCTTCGGTTCCGGGCCTTGGGGTTTTACGCTTTCTTGAGGTTGGGGTCTTAGTACCGCGAGAACCCTGCTCCCGGCACAACAATTTCCAGGGTTTTATTCTTTGATACTGCTGTGTAGCAAACCGATGGTGCCTCTGCCGGAACCTCCGCAGAAGCTGGGTCCTGCCACGAGATTTCGAACAATAAAGGCTGTTTTTCAGGGATTCCAACCCCCCATTTGGGGGCCTCCGAGGGGGGGGTTGGGCGAGGGTTTTTTTCAATTATTCCAGCTTTCGGGTTGGGGGGCTTTGGGCTTGGGCTTGAGAGGGCTTGGGCTTTTTCATGAGCTTGGTCGTGAGCCAGTCAAATTGCGGGGTCCCAAATCAGAATCATGGTGCGCCCAGGTTGAAAGCCGTCGTTACCGGAGCTGGGTGGCCGGCCCAGGGAGTTTTTGGTGTCCGATTCGGGAATCTGTGGCAGATGCTTGCAATTCCGCCATAGGGTGAGGAAATTGATGGACTTCGGTGGTTTAGGACGCTAAAGCCTGCATGTGTCTTGGTTTTGGGCAATCTCTGCAGCCAGTGCCTATAAGGCATTCCCCGCGATTCTGCGCGATGCCTGCGCGATACTTGCGCGATACTCCCTGACCCTCCGCGATAGTGCGCGATGCCTGCGCGATACTTGCGCGATACTCCCTGACCCTCCGCGATAGTGCGCGATGCCTGCGCGATACTTGCGCGATACTCCCTGACCCTCCGCGATACTGCGCGATGCCTGCGCGATTCTGCGCGATTCACTCTTGGCTTTGTTCTGCTCCCGGGAGCACAATAACATGCAGAATTTGCACAGGGCTGGTTTTGGTCAAGGATTGTGTGCAGTTTCGGGCATTTCGAGAGCTTTTTGCAGAATTCCCGTGACACTTCGTTCCGGTGCTGTGTTTCTGGTTTCCATTTCAGGATTTCTTCCAATCTGCTGAAAATACTTGGAAATCGCCTTCCTAGTGCTAGGTGCGAGCCTGCAGGCCACAAAAGCCGTTCTCAGCCATCGAAGCACCTCCCACTCGACCTTTCTGGGGCCCCACAGATTCCACACATGTCCGAAGTCCCCTCCCTATACCCTTTATTTCCCTAAGACTAATACGAAGCTACTTCGAGGTCTGGGCTTGGGCTCTTGCAGCCCTGTGAACTTCTACTGCTGGTGGGCAACGGCTCGCTTCATGAAGGCTGGCCACGTGGAGCTTTAGGGTTTCGGCGCTCACAGTCGGACAGATTTAGGGTTTAGGGTTTGGGCCAAATTTGCTCGTGTCTGCAGCGTAGCATCAACAAGCGAGAGCTGGGTCAGGGCTTGATTTCCAAGCCAGGCCGAACAAATCCTGGGATTGCTGCTTTAAACATACCGTAACATACCCAACACCACAAAATCCTGGGAATGCTTTAAACAGGCCCTACAACAAGCGTGCTCTGGGCTCGCATGGCTCGCATCCACCTAGTTTGTGCAGTGTGTTTAAAGGAGGACCTGCCCAACTGTGGGCACTTTTGCAATGGCCGAGGAACCGTTTCCAAAGCGATTCCGCCGTGCCGGGACGGACGTGTTCGATCACAACTCTGTGGAAGGTGGTGGCTTGGGCAGTGAGGGCTGCTCTGTTGTCAACAAAGCTCAGGTGGCCAAGCTTCTCGAATGGCCAGACTTAGTGCGTCAGCATGCCGTACTCCAAAGCACACAAGAAGATCAAGATCCGAGTTCGAGTCCGAAGTCCGCCCTCTCGCTTTTCCTTCCAAGCCGAGACAAGCAGTCTCCCATCAAGCGCTTGTATGTAACGACAAGCTACATGGGGCTGGGCACAGTGGAACACGTGATTCAGCGTCTCGCATCTGCCACTGGGTCCGTGCAAGATGTGGTGTTCTGGTCTGGTGTTGAGTGCGACGAAGCTTGCAGGAATTTTGTACTGCAGTCGGCCCACTGTCCTTTGCACCTCTTTGGCGACTTGGAAGAACAAGTGGACGGTGAAGTCTTGAAGCACATGCATGCGGCTGTGGAAGTTTTGAGCAACCGCGTGGCCAGAGGCACCAGGGGCGATGTGTCATGTGCTAGTGAAAGAAGCATGCGGAAGCTGATCAACATAGGCACGAAGGCTGCTGCTCACGGCTTGTTCCTGGAGGAGGCTTACTGTTATCGGCACAAGAAGTACTGCAAGCTTTTCCCGAATCCAGAGGCCGGAGAAGTGGTTTTGGAAGCAGGCGGCAATTCCTGCGTCGGCTTCTCGCTTCAAGGAAGCCGGCAGCAGTGGCTGCATCCGAGTTCTGTCGCGACTGCCCTTTGGCTCTGCCGGTCGGCTGACAGAGGCAGGAAGGGTCTTCTTCACATGTTGTTGCAGGAGTGCTCCTCTATGTTCCCGACAGAAAGCTGTTTTGAAGCTGCCTTTGGTGATGGCTTCAAAACGAACGTCTTCAAAGTCAGCTGCTGTGATGTCGGTGTCCCGATGCAGCGACTGAGAAAGTTTTCGTGGACAGTCAATACAAATTTCTTCGACATCGGACAGTGCGACGAAGAGGATTTCAAAGCCGTGTTTTCGTCGCCAGTGCTATGCGAGGGCCATGACTTCTTCTGTGCGTCTGAGGAGCTCATTCAGCAGTATCTGCGCGAGGCTGCCAAGTTGGACTTGTCCCAGACCGCGGGCAAGCTTCCGCCCGATGTGGTTCTTACTGCTGCTGGCAAGGTTCGCTTGATGGAGTACAGCAGCCGTTCAGGGAGTGGTAATCCATGCGTCGTCGATGTGAGCCAGTCCGTGCAGGCAAGGCCGATGAGGCCTGGTGGCGACTTGGCCCACATGTCGATGCTCCCGTCCTTGCTGTGCCACAGTATCATATGGAGCCTCAAGCACGGTCGTGCAATGATCCCTACGGAGACTTTGTTAGCGATGGGGTGGCCGATGATGGCGGCCCTCGACAACAAAGAGGCTTCCGAGTGCCCTTGGCCTTTGGAGGCCTTGCAGACAACCAAGCACAGTCAAATCGTCAGGATGTCGGGCAATGCCATGCATGTCCGACTGACGGGATTGCTGTTGGCCTTCTGCTTGAGCAGGACTGAGCTGCATGAGTGAGTGTAGTGCGTGAACACTGTAAGCCGAAGCATGCCACCGAAGGTGCCCTGCGTCGGGTGAGAAGCGTTACTTCAGGTCTTTGGTAGAGCTCAGAAGAGTAGACGTGTGTGAATCAAGCTGCCTTTTTGATGAACTTCTTTGCACCGAGACTTGTGTAGATTGTGCAGTAGACGTACTCTAGATGAACACCTGTAGGCTGTAGTAAGACTGGCAGCCGAGACTCGCCAAGACTTGTTGGAGTGCGGCTTGTTTTGTCTTGCGCACTCAGATGTCACAACTGGTTGAGCTCCAGGCTTGCTGCGTCACACTCGTAACATGTACTCATGTGGACTTGTTCATGTAATCAGTTTGGATCTGGAAGTGCTGCAGAATCGCATTTTGTGTGTGTGTGTGCACATGAAGCTGGTCGAGGGGAGGGAAGTGATCGCTCGTCGCACGATCGGCTGCCCAACGAAAACGATCGAAGGGGCCTGAAGCTTCAGACTGTAGCGAGCAGTGGCAGGAGTTTTGCGGCAGTGAACTGAGGAGCAGGAGTAGTCCATTTTGTCTTAGTCGTAGTCCACGACAGACAGAGCAGGGCCGGCTGTCGAGCTGTTGATCTAGTCTGAGAATTTGGCAGGTCAGCTGCTTTGCTATCTCAGCGACGACTGAACGGACAGCTCGGGGAGCCTGGGGCCCGGAGTGTGACTGGAGGTGCTGCTGGTCGCCGTGCAACCCTGTCCTCATGTGTGTCGTGTTGCTTGTTCAGTTAACTTCGAGAGTTGTTGCTCATGCATAGGACATGTGAGCAGGTGCACAGCTGACATGTCAGTGCCTTGCCGTCCGATGTTGCACGCTTGAACTCGCAGCGTCTGTGCAAAGGACGCACTGGGACTGTGCGGTTGTCTGCCGTGCCTGCCTGTAGCTGTGTGCGCTAGAGCTTCTGCTTCCGCTGCAGAAATGTTCGACATGGAATCCTTGCATGATTCGGTAGATGTCGATATCGGTTTGATGCTCGGGGCGGAAGATCCGGATCCACCCAGAGCTTCTGCGAAGAACAAAGCGAAGGCCAAAGCCAAGGGCAGGGCCAGACCTGCCGGGAATGAGAGTGGGGATGATGATGTGCCACCACCGCCAGCCCCACCATCCCTCTCTGGCTCGTCAGAGCAACTTCGCAGGGGCACGAAGCGCAAAGTGCCAGGAGGGGACAGGGGATTCCGTATCTGCAAGGGGTGCGGGGAGAAGATCAAATGTGAGGATTGTGCCCTCAACTTCCCAGGCTGCAGACCGTGTAAGCGGGCGCTCGACAATATAGCCCGCTTGGCGTCCAAGCAGGGAGCCAAAGCAGTCGCCTTCGTCAAGGAGCAGCGCGACGACCCCGAGAAGTGCAAGGATATGGTTGCGAACTACAAGGAAAGCTGCCCAGAGTGCATGAATGAGTTAGGCAGCAACACCAGAGGCAAGAAGAGAGGACAGTGGAACCTCACAAAGTATCAGGAGAAGATTGTCTCCTCCTCGGGAATTCTCCGTGACAAGGTCGGCGAGCTCATGCCCCAGAAAGTGTACCTGGAGTTTGCGGCCACAGCTCGAGGTGGGAGAAAGAGTGACGTGGATGCCCTCAGCCAGTGGCGCACGTGGGAGCTTGAGGCGGAGGCTAAAACTCTCAAACGCCTCCACGACTTCAAAGGAGACGGTGGGGCCCTTCGTGTGTGGATTCATACGATGGACGAAGTCCGCTTCCGAAGCGGCATGATGAATGAGAAAGAAATCATTCATGAAGGCGAGAGCCTGAAGAAGGCTTCCCAGGCCGATGAAGAGCGGCTGCGGTCCAAGATGTTGCAAAACCACGAAGCCTTGCAGGACAACGAGGATGTTGTCAAGGCCCTCATGGCGAACGGTGAGACGGCTTTCCAGGGCAACGATGGGTTTCTCATTGATGTTTTCGAGCTCTGTTCTGAGCATGAAAGCAAGAAGCCAGATGAGCAGGGCACGGAGTCTGCTGCTGCGGATAAAAGCAGCTCGCAGGCCGCAGGTGGTGGAGATGGAGAGCGACCCAACAAGAGAGCCAAGGTGGATGTTTGGGTGGAGCGAGATAGAGTCATCTCTGCCGTGGTGCGGTCCAGTACCCAGCAGATCAAAGTTTTCACTTCCAAGGCGGAGGCTTCGTTGAAGAAGCACGAGGAGGCCTTGTCTGAAATCCAAGAGAAGGCCGAGAGCGACCCGGTTTTCAAGAAGAACTTCGAGGGTGAATTGAAGATCCTGGAGAACCGAGTTCATGCTCTCCAGCTGGTCGTTGCTCTTTGGCCGCATTTTTTGTTCTGTGATCTGAGGTGTCTTTGCGTCGTTTGTTTGTTTTCGGAGAGCGACTTGTGGATGCAGCTGCCCAGGTAGCTAACGATCTGGTGCAGTTGCAGGAGTACATTGGCCGCTTTTCGTGTGCTCCGTCCGTGGCGGCGGCTGGCGAGGAAAAGGAGTCGATGAAGGATGCCGCTCCTGTGGAGCTTGGGAAGTCCCCTCCTAGCACCAGCTATGCCTCGCTCAGGCCGGTGCAGGAGCTTTTGCAGCACGTGGAGAAGTACCACAACTGCACCCAGCCAGCCCATGTCAAGGACTGTTGTGCGCTTTGTGTTCACGCCCAAACTTACATAGATTCCTGCTGCCTGCCTCTTTCCATCAGGAAGTCACCGCATCGATTACCACCCTGCGTGCCCCGATCGCGGAGCTGCTGAGCCTCACTGCTCGTGCCGAGAAGTTCCTTAAGAGTGCCATCGAAAGCCTGAAGAAGCAGGAGCAGAAGAAGCTGGCAGAGGCTCGGAAGCCCAAGAAGGTTGAGAATCCCACCGTGGCCCTTTTCGACACTGGGGCTGAGAAAGCCGAGAGCATCCCCAGACGGTCCCCGGATGAAGTGCTTCAGCAGCGTGATTTGGCAAGGCCTTTCATCCTCCGTTTGGATGAGGCGGTGAGTCACGCCATGAAGGAGCTATCTGGAACACGTGTTCAAATCGATCAGTTTCAGGAGTCCTTCGACCAGGCACGTGCCAAACAGAAGGGCATTCGCATGTCGAAGGCGATGGAGATGGGCGGGGACCAGAGCCGCGCCGAGCTCATGAACAAGGTTGCGGAGATCTTCAAGAGCACTCAGGGTATGGTGCCTCGCAAAACCATGTCCACCAGCCTGTTGAAGTACATGGACATGTCGATCTTCGGCGTGGATGTCAACTACGACAAGGTCAGTGCAGAGGGGCTTAGTGTGGCGACGGGCAGGTTGTGCCTGCGTGGCACGAGGGCCGTCGTCATGACAGAGATGCTTCAGCTGCAAGGATTCATGACGAGAAAGGGCATTGGTGGGGTCATGTCCGTCCAGAGGATGTCGGTTTTCTTGCGATCCATGAATGCCCAGCTTCTCAACGAGTATGCCTCGGTGTGTACTCTTTGGGCCGCAACCGTTGCTGATGGTGACTTCCTCTACACGCCGTACGGCTTCGTGCAGGGGGAGTTGGTGACACAGGCAACGATCGGCATCCGGGTCCCCCTCATTCCCAAGGCTGCTTCACATCCAAATGGTATGGAAGCAGCCAAAGCTCGCAAAAGCGAGATGGAGAAGCACGTGGAGCAGGGCACGGAGATGAAGGAGAAGGCCGCCCTGGAGTTGCCATTGCTTGCCGAGATCATCAAAATCATGTCCGAGACGGGGGCAGATGTGCCAGAGCCGGCAGCGGCGCCCGCAGCGGCCATTCAGGATGGTGGTGCCGGTGAGTCCGGCGCGGATTCTCAGCGTGCCGGCGAGCCCGGCGAGAAGGCGGATCAGGCTCAGCAGTCCCAGCAGCCAGTCCCGCCTGCAGAGCCGGTGGCTGCAAACCAGAGCTAGGTAGCACAGCACAGTAGTTCCCAGCAGCCGCTGCTTCAAGCGCAGGATGATGCATAGGCAAAGTAGTTGGTGCAGTGTCGCGGATGTCTTGAGTTAGGTTAGATTCATGTCGTGCATTTTATTTGGTTTCAACGGTTGAAGCTGCCTTCCTTTGCTTGACAGTGGCTGGGAGTTCTCCTTTTGTCCATGTTAGCATGTGGCCTCTCCAGCCGGATGCAGACCACCGCTGACGAACCTGTCAGTCTCCAGATGGAGCCGGGACCAGCAGGGGAAGGGGTGCAAGGGAGAGTGTGTGACAGCACGAGGTCCTTCTGCGACACGAGTGGTGCACTCCAGACCGTGACGTTTTAAGAATGCAGAAGTTGCTGTTGCAGAAGTACATGGCATGTCCTTGTCACTCGGAGCCTTTGCGTGATGTGCTGCCATGCTCGCCCAAAACATGCCAGGGCGATCTGTTGCTTGCAACTCTGGATTGCCATTCGTGCACTGAGCAAAGTATTCAACAGTGAAACGAGCCTCAGCTTCGCCACAACACCAGAACCGTCGCTTATCAGCTAGCCAACATTGCAATCTCGGCCCAGGTCTTGCCGTCGATGCTGCTGGTGATCGAGCTCCAGACATGCGAGAGTGAGTAAAACGTGTGAGTGGATGTGAGATTGTTATGGCAGTATCGTTTAGACTTGAGAGACATGCCCAACACAACAACATTTCAATCCTAGCAGTTGTACATGCTCTGATGCGGTGAGGAAAGGCTTGGGCCCTGATGCGGAGTTCAGGTGCCACTGTTAAAAAAACCACTCAACTCTTCGTTCCAGCCCGGAATCCCTTAAAGGTGCGATGCTGTGCTACGCCGACTGCTTTCTTGTCCGAGTTTCTGTTGATGTCAACTTCCAGGTTGAACCAAATCAGTCAATTTCACCAACTGGCGGCGAGGGTGCGTATGCGTAGCAATTGCATGAGTGCGGAAGCCCCCGGGGCGACTGCCTTCTTGGCGGGATCATTTGAGCGATCGGCGATGAACGCTGCTTCCTACATCTTCCCATATCTGTGAAAGTTGCTGGCGGCTGAGTTTGACACCGTCCTGTTACCAAACTTTCGTCGGGTCGCGGTTGCAGTGCCAGACTTGCTGCCAAATCTCGAATAACGAAGCACGGATTTGGAGAAATGCATGGTCAGGCCCTTTGTGTGTGTACAGAGTGCCCCGGGCCCTTGGACGTAGGGGGTTTTAGGTGATATTAGCATCGGGTTCATCGTAGGTTGATTTGGATTGCATGGTTTTAGTATAATCCAGTTCAAATATAATTTACCCACCCAGATTGGCCGTGTAAACGACCTGTTTGTGGCTATGTAGCCCCAGGCGTTTTCCAAAGTGTTTCTGCGGATGTTCATAGTGCAGTGTACATCCCGGGCACAGACCCGCGGGCTTCGCGCATCGCCACCTCTGCCGGCCCGGGCACAGCCCCGGAGGGTGAAGTTTCACCCATGGATGAGGACGGAGCAGAGCGCGAAGCATACATGGCCGTCTGCAGTGGGGAGTGGGTAGGACAAGCCAGCCAGATTTCTTTTCCAAGCCCTGATCCTCCCGAAGACCTGCCCCACAGTAGCAGCGCAGCCTATGGACCCTCAGCCGCTAGCTTAAAGAAGCTTAGCAAGGCCCAGTCCAAGTACCTCACCTCAAGCCTTACCGAAATGGTAGCGGGAGACAAAGTCTTAAAGGCAATCGTGTACAACGCTGCCATGCGAGAAGCTGATCACCTGATTAGATTGCATGAACCCTCGGCACAGGTCCTCGCGAGCGTGATCAACGAGAGGCAGAACGGGCCACCGGGCCTCGTGGTTGCCAGGTTTGAGACTTCCACAGAGGAGTTGTGTTTGGAGCTTGAGTGTGTAGCTGACACCCTCAACATTCCGGTTATATTGGTTACCCCGAACGGCTACCCAATGCTTGAGGACACTGTTACCTTGAGAGGAGACATGCATATCTCAGGCATAGGCCCAGAGATCGGAAAGGCTTTGGACCTCTTCCAAGCATGGTCAGAGTCTTACGGGTATATACCCCGTAGTTATGTTGATACGGATAGTACTGACTTTTGGAACCTTTGTCGTACCATTTCTGAGGAGTACTATATCAACGCATTTAGCCGAACTTGCTTTGTCGGCGACGCCCAGGACACAGATCCTGAGGACATCAGCGAAGCAGAGCTGGTGCCCGATGCTGAGATGCCTCAGCGAGGTGCCCCTGATGGGGTGGATGATGCCGGTGGCGCACTGACGCCCGAGGAAAGAGAACGCCTCATTTTGGAACAATTCCCGTTCCCCGGAACGCCGAATACAGAGGCAGAGCGCCGAGCGGCGTGGAGATCGTTACCGCAACGAGTCCGGGTAGCTATAAGGCGCCTGCACCGATCGTTTGGCCATCTGCCAAACGCAGTCCTGGTTCAGGTTCTGAAGCAGGCCCGGGCGAGCAAGGATTTCATCGCCGCTGCCGGACTTTACAAGTGTAAGGTCTGCCTGGACACAGCTCCAGTGCCCAGGCATCACCCTGTCGCAGGCGATAGTGTATTCCCTAAGGAGTTCAACCATACGATAGGTATGGATGCGCTAGAGGTCAAAGACTTCTATGGAAATCGCTATACTGCTGTCAATATAGTTGACATGGGGACAAGCTTCCAGCAAGTTGTGCTCGTGAAATCTGGGGGTGGTAACCCAAGTGCCCGCCAGTGTGTGAAATGCCTGATCGACAGGTGGATCAGCTGGGCTGGACATCCCAAAGTCATAACCACTGACAGAGGGACGCACTTCAGGGGAGAATTTTCAGAGTATTTGGCACAGCATGGTATAACCCATAAAAACGCCCCTCTTGAGAGCCCGCAGACTATTGGAAAGGTTGAACGCCATGGTGGACTTGCTAAGGCCATCATCAGGAAAGTCGCGCAGGAGGCTCAACCCTCGAATATCGAGGAGATGGAGGCGGTCGTTACCGAAAGTGTTACTACTAAGAACGAGCTTAGTAGGCACCAAGGGTTTAGCCCAGCACAACACGTGTTGGGAAAGCAGCCTCGAACGCCGGGTTCAGTGCTAGATGAATCCGAAAGCCTTGGTACATTGTTCACCAAGTATGATGAGACGAGTGTATACTACATTCGGCACAGAGCACGGCAAGAAGCCAAAAAGGCCTTTGTTCACTTAGAGACTTCCCGCAAAGTGGCCAAGGCGTTACAGCGTAATGCAGCCCCTCTAGACACTGACTATAAGGTTGGTGATTTAGTTATTTACCGTCGGGATAACGTCCCTGGCAGCCCAGGTGTCGTGTGGTCCACGGTTAGCCGCGTCATAGGACGTGAGGCAGAGAATGCGTACTGGGTATTACACGAGAATATCCCTGTACTTGTGAACGCTAGGAAGATGCGCCCGGCTGATGAAATTGAAGTTGCAGCGCACCGCGTTTTGGCAGGAGAACCAGTGCTTCCGGAAGCCATTGTTCATGGACCGGAACAAAGGTTCCAGGATGAGCGCGTAGCAGACCCGGTCACAGCACCAGCGACGCCACGTCCAGTGGCTGCAGCTGCCCCGCTTACACCGGCAGTCGCGCACGATGTGCCTATGCCAGCACCATCGACGCCAGCGATGATGCCCGGCACACCGATGCCAGCGCCATCCACGCCTGCAAGGTTTCGCGCCAAAGATAAGACGGGCGAAACCGCCCGGTCGCGATCGCCAGTAGGAGGCCGTGATGATGCACTAGTTGCGGAAGAGATTGATCAAGTAGAGATCATGGCAAAAGGCCTGATAGATACTCAGGGTTTTTCCCCGGATGAGTGTCTGGCCCTCCTTCGTGCCTATGACCGCGACCGACGCGAGGCTTACACGCGCCCGCTCCTAGATGATGGAGATCCCGGGTGCATAGCCCTCGCGGTGGGAGTATATCGGCACGGTGGTCTTGTTGGTGTTTCTGGACCAACGCGCGAGAGACCGTCGTTCGCCATGTATCTCAACCACTACATCTTGCATCACAGTATGCAAGCCGGTCATCATCTCCCACAGTGGAGTAGCGTTCAGCTTACCAACAGAGGCGCAGAGGCCCATAGAGACCTAGCGAACACTCCTGGCTCGCATAACTACACTATAGGTGTGGGCGAGTATCGTGGAGGCGGCCTATGGGTGGAAGAAGCCACGGGTACAACCCCCGTGCGTGTTCAAAACACGACAATGTATGGCACCGTCCACGATACTAAGAACAAGGTTCTTAAGTTTCGCCCGAAGGACGTGCACATGGTCGCACCATTTGTAGGAGAAAGATACAGTCTCTCCGCATACACGGTGAGTGATCTCGGCAAGTTGTCTAAAGATGACATACAGCTTTTGTCGGACTTAGGCTACCCCATATATAGGGATGCGCCCAACACCTTTGGCAGGAAAGGCGATGGGATATACACCATGGGTCACTCTGATCTTCCCATCGAGACGTTCCTAGAGCGCATCCACGAGTACGGGATTAGGGAAATCGTAGATTGCAGAAGCCATCCGTACAGCGTTCGGCATCCACAATACAATTGTGATGAGCTTTCCGCCACGTGTTTTGCAAAAGGGGTTGTGTACAGTCACGCCCCCGAGTTAGGCAACAGGAATCGGGGCGGGATTGAAGCCAACCTGCAAACAGACCAAGGGCTCTGTACGATCGCTAGAATAGTTAGCGAGGCCCACGATGACTTTCACCGAATACTTCTGTTGTGTTCGGAGGCCAGTTGGCGGCGATGCCATCGGCGAAATATCGCCCAGCACATATGGCTCGAGCATTCGAAACTTGCCGAGCACATACGTGCTAACGGACTGCCAGAAGCCCATCCGTGTCACTACATTCCTGAGGAAGACGACGGACTGGCAGCAGCATCGCACACAGCTGCGATTGGCACGACTGTGCCAGCAGCTGAGCCCTCGGATAGTCGAGCGGCGGAATCCAAGGCCTTTGCTCTCACCCCAGATGGGGAAGACGCCATCGG